TAAGCCATTGAAATACAGCTGTAAAACTTTCGGTTAAATATGACGAGGTGGCCGAGAGGTTAAGGCGATGGACTGCTAATCCATTGGGCTCTGCCCGCGTGGGTTCGAATCCCATCCTCGTCGTTACCTATTTTTAACGTCTTATAGTCACCGCCACAAACCACAAGAGAAACTGCGAATGGTCGGTCCTTCAACTTTTGTTCTCCCCGCTTCTCGCTTCCACTATCCTAAAACCTGATGTGTTAGCAGATGGTTAGTGGTTATCCTGTACATCAAATCCCCCTCTTCCATTACATTGCGGCCGCGTCAGGAGTAAAAACATGGATGCAAGACGTGCTTCTGCTCATGAAGCGAGCGCACAAACGTCACACAAAGAGTTACCGCGAGCGCATGCGTTCAGACGCGTTTGGCGCGTTTTTCAAAGTGCTTTAAGAACTATGCTTACGAACCATCGCGTTATGGCGCTGGGCGCGCTCTCGCAAGACTGCCTGCGCAAGACTGACGTGCGAAGTTTCACCACGGCGCACTCGCTCCTTTCCCCTTTCCTACTCATACCAACCCTCTCCGACCGATTCGCTGTGAAGACGGAGTGCAAAGAAGGGGCAGTATAGGGGAATGGTGGCCTCGCGCACGCCTGTGGGAACAAGGTAGGTAGGTAATAAACTTTATTAAGATCCAACGAGGAATTACTGGCCCGGGCTAGGCCTCCAGGAGCTGTCGTCTGCTGAGCATCGTGCGATGTCTTCGGCAATAGGCCCGGTTCGCTGGGCAGCCCAGATTTGGTCCACTGCATCTGGGCTGAAAAGGGCGGCTCGCCACCGCTCAGCCAGTCGCCCTGGGGTACACTCATGCTCGTCCGAGTTGTGGCGGCGAACACTGCACTCACACTCCTAAAATAGATGCGCCATGTCGGCTGTCTCGTGTCCGCACCACGGACAGCCGGGTGACGGGTGCAGCGAGGGACACAGTATATGCAGGTGTCGGGGATTTTCAAATGTGTCGGTCTGCAGACGCCTCAGATCAGACGTCTGAGACCTTTCTAGCTGCATGTGGGGTGGTGGGTAACGTCGTCGCGTTTTTCTGTAATGGTTTAGGATCTCGTGGAAGGTAACCATGATGTCCATGCAGTCCTGTAAGGCCTCGGAGTCTGTTATCGTCGTCGCAGAGGTATCAGGTGCCTCCGACCTCGGGTGCCTCGCCACCGTCGATGTGTCGCACATCGGCGGCCCTTTTGTCTGCGTCGCGGCAGGTTAGCAGTCTCGCGACGAAGTGGGCGCGCTCGTTGTGGTTCGACAGGAAGTCAGATCTTTGGTCGCTGCCAAGCTCTCCCACGTGCGCGGGGAACCACTTGAGAGACTTGGCAGCAATCGAGTGAATGAGATTTTACGTTCACGGCGGAGAAGAGCAGCACAAAGCAGGGAACCGCGGTAATGCAGGTGAGGGAGGACTGTGGAAGCAAAACAATGAATAACGAGAGCGGTGACAAGAGCCATTGTGCCAAGAAGGATGCTGTACAACACTTTACGGAAGCGCTTTGTAGCTTCATTGGCATTTTTCTTTTCATTACGACCTTTCACACTATTCCTACGAAATCTTTATTGTATTGATTGTGTATTTTTCATGTACAGTATCAATGAAACTCTTCATAAAGGAACTAAATTTAAAGTCAGTTGTGCACAGTATAGACAGCTGAAGGATGAGTTTACTTAGCGGTTTTGTTACAACTTATGTAATGAAGCGGGGAAATGGGACTATACATTTTTACGTGTGAAGCAACGCACGAACATATAGACCGGAGTCGCTTTTGACACCGTTTCCTCTCCCTATTTATTACCCCCCTTGCTCTAAGGCCGCAATGACAGAGTATAGCATGTAACTGACCCTGTCTTTATTTACACGTACACGTAACTAATAAGCATTAATTCATTGACGTTTGTTTCGACACCCTTATGAGGAGGAAGAAGCGTTATCGAAAAGAAAGCAATGAATCACACAATTCTGCGTGCGTAAGACACGGTATACTCCGTACGTAGTTCAGAAGCGCAATTTATGGAGCATTGTTCCTTAAAGTAACTACAATGGGACTTCTTTATTTTCTGTTCACGAGGTCATTCAGTTGTCTCAGCATGATTGATCACGTTACAAAAAAAGACAAGCATTTGATAGCCAGTACATAAATATATCTTGACTTAGTCGACATACAGTTGCAAACAAGTCCTTATCGTGTGACGAGGTGGCCGAGAGGTTAAGGCGATGGACTGCTAATCCATTGGGCTCTGCCCGCGTGGGTTCGAATCCCATCTTCGTCGAAATTTTTTTCACGCTTTTTTTTTGCATGGGCTTTACGAAGTCATCACCACAGCAATCACATTCACAGAGGTCGGTCCTTCTGCTTTTGCCCTGTTGACTATCCCGATACCTTGAAGTATAAGCAAAGCGTCAGTTATTACCGGCTGCTTTACTTTTCGCCTTTATCGGAATGCGGCCGCATCAAGGGTATGCATCCTCGCGGATGCTATTGATGTCTCCCGCGAGGATGCCTAGCGTCGGAGTCGCCATTTTGGGGGCCCGTGCGCTGGCCGCAGCGCACAAGAAAGAAAAAACGAGCTTCACACGCTGTATTCAAGATACGTACAAAAACTTGGATGTCTAGAGAAGTCCAGAACACTTGCAGCGCGCCGAAGCAGGCACAACAGGACGGCGCGTACGAACGAACCTTCAAAATGGCGCGGCGATGGCGTTGCCCCCTTGCGGATCAAGACTCAGATGTATGTGCACAGAAGTCACACGTCTACATAAAGGAGTCTACACGCGCGGACTAGCCCGTGCATTCGGACACGTTTGGTGCGTTTTGAGCGCAAAGCACTTTAGGGGCCTGGCTATAGTTTTTCACGAGTAGATCTTATGTAGCGCTATAACGCATAAAATCAAGTGGTCTTTACAGGCTTAAAACAAGCCCAACAATGCTTAAAACTGGGTTAAAATAAAGGAACGTACCTAATTGTTATAATTAACAAAAGTAAATGAGAACTAAAGTAATAATAAAGTTAAATAGATAAAAACGCTTTGGAAACGTCCGCACCGCACAAGAGAAGGCGCGCTATTGATCCTACTGGGGCGTCCACTTCCACGACCTCGTTGTGCCGTCAGTAGTGTCGTTTGTCTCCGCTCGTGCCGCCAAGCGTATGCGTGCACACACGGCTCTTCAGCAAAGGGATAGAAGTTACGTTAGGTAAGATTACACCGCGGCGCCGCCTCATCTTCTAAACCCCATCGGGCTGGTGAACGTACTGCAAAAATGACGTCAATGATTAAGAAAAGGCCCTTCAGCCAATAATCTAAAAAGCTGGGCAATTAAGCACAATCAATGAGTTAATTGAAGAGAATGCAAAAAGTACGCGTTCGGTTCTACTACAGTTTCGGACGCGGCTTTTATTAAGCTTCCGACGTGACAGAAACATGCAGCGATTCATTTATCCCCGGAACACCTGCAGTGTAGACTGGAACCGCCTTCCCGGACCCGTGACCACCATCATCGATCACCGCTTGTTCCGTTCTACACGATCTAGCATTGTATAGCGAAGCCAACCAACTTGCCTGTTCTCGTTGTACATAACATGTACACCATTGCATCATGGTTGTTCAAAGAGGGTTCTGACTCGCTCGCTGGATTCCGTGCCGACCGGTTGTGCCCTCGCGATCTCCGACGTCAGCGTAGCTCTGGCCGACTGGGCTCGCCCTACGTAATCTCCTGACGCCGACCTCCGACGACAGTGTAGCTATGACCGACTGGACTTGCTCTACGCCACCTCCTGACGCCGACAAGAGCTCTCGCAAGTGGTGCCCCGTCCTCGGACTCCTGTGACCGTGTTTCAATCTTTCCTATCTCTCCTATCCCCTCGATATGTCATCGCTCTCTGGCTTACCACCTCACGCCTCTTTCTCTCTCTCTACACCTTTATTCCTATCATTTTAATCCCTCCTCACCCCCATCCCTTGTGAGCTACTGTTGAGGTGTCGCTCGCTGAAGCAGACAGTTACGGGGCTCACTTTTCTCTTCCTTTCTGTCTTAGAACCACTTAGTAGTAAGAGGGTTCCGCGACCTACTGATAAGTATTACCTTATAGAAGGCAAATCAGAGACGCGATGGATCTAAGGAACCTCCCCTACTCCAGCCCGAGCTTCAATGAACACACCTCGGTGCATAAGAGATACCCGCGAGCAGAGAAATAAATCCCGCCAACAGCTTGTAGCCAGGCCGACTCCGAGAGCAGTAAACGCGGTTTCTTCATTTTCACATGTCATGGGTTAAGTTAGTGGACGTGCTGCCGGCATTCGCAAAAACATATTCTTGTGAGCAGGCATTCTCGACACTAGCGTATTTGAAAAATAGGCACAGCAATTGGCCTGAATAAAGCAGCCGACTACATACGGCTGGTCACGAGAGTGACGTATAGCCTCGCATCGATTTGTTGGTACAAGTAAATTTAAGTGAGTTGTTTCATGTAAGTAAATGATTATTTTACATATACTTATTTTTTTATTTAGTCGTGAAGCGAATGAAAAATGGTTGCAAAAAGCGGAGTGGGGGGAGGGAGGTTCTTTAATTAACTGACAGGGTTTTATTTTCTCTAGGACTAACATGCTTGAGAACCTTTCCTCTACACTTCAGCTAACATTGTGTGAGTAAATAAAATTAAAAAAAATATCACCCCACTGCATAATGCGTTTCGTCTGGAGGGTACTAGAACATATACAAATAAATGAATACATAAATAGATAAATAAGTGTCTTGACTGAATTTATGTGCGAAACATTTACACAGATTCCTTGCTTATTCCCTATGGGGGTATGCGGATCATCATCGCTATGATCATCGTCTAATGTTGCTCGCTCGAGGACTTGTGACCATCATCATCATCACTCCCCCCCCCGCGCGAAGAAGCCGAAGAAGGGGGATCCGTCAAGATTCAAAGTGCTGACACTACAACTCTGGAGTCATGCTTCCCGGCCCAGAAGAATGCCGCCAGCCGCCGATCAACGACGCCGTTACCTTGGCGCCAGATGAAAGCAGAGAGACCCGTCGAAGCGGTACAGACCACGATGTCGACGTCGATAGTATGAGGGAACCCGACGTCACTCTGTCCCTGGTTGACGAATCTACGTCCACGCTGGCGCTGACAGAGTGTTCGATCGACGCAGTGACCCAGACGTCGTTCGCCATGCAGTCTCAGCTGCTGTGTCCATCGTCGCTGACGAATGAAAAAGCACAGCCTGCAAGCTTACTTAAAAGCTGCAGGAAGTCTGTGGACAGGCAGCGTACTCCGAGCAACGCCAGCGACTCTAAGGAGCGCAACTCGTCTCAGCAAATTATCTCGTCCCTCAGGGCGTTGCGCAACTCTATTGCCGCGCCGTCGACCGTGCTAGAGATGGTCCGCTCGTGCAGCGTGGTGAAGCGCACCGAACCGAGTACCAGCGAAAGCAGCACCGCGCCGCGCCAATTAAATCTCGCGGGCCATTCTTTGGTCCTTGGCATCCTGATGGCCGCTGGAGCCAGTGCCGTTCTCTCCTTAGTCAATGTAATCATTAAGCGCCTGGAAGCCGTCAGTTCGCTCGAAGTGCTCACCTTCATGGCATTCGGCGTCTTCCTCGGCATCCTGCCGGCGGCCACGAACGAAGTGCAGCCTTTCGGACCCAGCAGTGCCCAACCGCTGCTTTTCGTGCGCACCATCCTGTCGCTGGGTGCGGCCGCGTTCAGGCTGTCCAGCCTGGCCTACCTGAGCATCGCCGACTCCTCCATCATCACCAGTCTGACTCCGCTCATGGTCGCCATCACGGCCAGCCTCTTCCTCGCCGAGCCCTGCCACTGGACGCAGGGAGTCGCCGTGGCCCTGTCCATATTGGGCATAACCCTGGTGGTGAAGCCACCGTTCCTGGCCAACTCGGGAGTCACCTTCACCAAGGAGCAGTACATCGGCATCGCGTACGGCCTCAGCCACACGGTGCTGAACGGCGTCACCACGGTCTGCATCCGGGCCACCAAGGGAGTGTCGCGCAGCGTCGTCGTGTTCCACTACGGCTGTCTGTCGATGCTGCTCGTGTCGGTCGTGTCGATCGTCATGGGCCGGCTCAAGATCTTCTACAACGGCTCGCAGATCGGCTACCTGCTGCTCATCTCGCACCTCACGTTCGCCGTCCAGATGTTCCTCACTAAGGCGCTTCAGGTCGAGAATGCCTCGGTTGTCACCATTGTCAAGACGTCGGCGGACGTCCTCTTCGGATTCGTCATGCAGGTATTATGATTGAGAGGCAGCCTCACCCCGGAATCATAGCATACCTGCAAGTTCAAGGATTCCGACTGAATCCGGAAAATTTCCACAACAGGGTGGGGGCGTAGGCTCGGAGCGGCCGAACACACAATGGTAGGGTTTCCCAACTAAGGTACGAGGCTAAAAGGGCCAGCGCAAATACTCCCAAAATTTTGTGTCATCAAAACAACCAGCAAAATCTATTTCTGTCGAAACAGCTCGCGCGTCTTCCTGCGACACATGTGAGCGGGTGGGACGGCGCAGCTGGCTGCCGCGAAAGCGCGGGTCAAAGCTTCGCTACGTTACTAGATTATTAGATGCGAAGCAGCTCTTTGACTCACATGTGTAACGCCGTACGTACGTGCATCCGTACTAACGCGCCACAACGCATTCCCTTCGCTGCTAATGTTGGAGCGGTGCCAAGTAGGTCACGCCGCAGCTGCGTGTTGACGTGACGCTTCCCTCGCAGGTGCGCACTGACGTCACTTTCTCTCTCACCCGCATATTGCTCGCTGCAGCTGCCGGCTCCTCCGCCCACTAGCTACATTTTCTATCTCGCTTCACCCTCTTGACTTGATCACGTCAAGAGTGACCATGGTTTCGTTCACAGAGGTTGTAGCAAACAACGGCCACACGCACTGTAGAAGACTGTGCGCACTGGCTGCGCGCGTACTTCCGCAGTTTCAAACACACTACTCTCGGCCTTAGTCTGACGGTTCTGGCACTACAGTTCATATCACCTGCCGCAAAATTGGGATGTTCGGAACATCTGAATTTCAACCCATAGGACACAGTGAAATCTGGCTGGGGAATTGCACGAATTCATATCTGCCAGTTTCGCACCACTGAGATTCTACTGTACGTTTAAAATAAACGCCTCCTAATTTCGTTAATAAAAAACAAGGGCATTTCGATTTGGTTTCAAAGTAAGCGTGAGTGCTCATCCGAGTTTCCAGCACTCTGCGACATCGCCACCGAGTATTGCGTAGACCGAGGCACCTGGCTCATCGCCCTTCTCGTTCTGTTGGGCTGTTTTCGAGGTGGGTTTGGTTGATTACGTCAGGAATGCATCGCTTTTGCTGATGGGGACAGGCTCGAAGCACCCACATTGTTTTATTCTTCACCAAGCACTGGTCCTCTGACATGAAAACGGCACCCGCCACGGTGGTCTAGTGGTCGTGGGATCGAATACGGGCAGCGGCGTCACCGTATTTTTGATGCAGGCGAAAATTCTAGATGCCTGTGTACTTTGATTTTGGTCCACGTTAAAAAACCCAAGCTGGTCAAAATTTAATGACCCTCCACTAAGGCGCCTCTCATAACCATATCGCGGTTTTGGGACATAAAGCCCCGTTATAATTATTTGAAAATGCCGCGTTCGGTGTCACCGAAACTTGAGCTTTCTTGAGAGCTCTCCCGCTTTGAGGCGCTATATTTTCTTGCGGTATTTAGGCTGGCGTTTCTAATTTATTTATTATTAATTTATTTTTACATAATAAAGCCCAATTGGGCTATCGCAGGAGTGGGTTTGCTATACACCAGCACACACAAGAATACAACTCTTAACAAACAGGAATAGAACTGTTAATAAACAAATTCCGAATCAATACATTCATGCAAGAAATTACAACTCTTAATAAACAAATCGCAAATCAATACATTCATGCAAGAAATCTTTTAAAGGCAATGACCTAGTTGACCATGGCAATACATTCCATTTTTCTATAGTGTGCAGAAAAAAGCTGAATTTAAATAGGTTAGTACGTGGATGGAATGGTGTCAGGTTGAGTTGGTGGCTATTCCTTGTGGGTTTCAGTTTATCAGGAGACAGATATTCGTTAGTTAATGCGTAGCGTGGGGTATTAACAAGAATATGGAGCAACTTTAGGCATTCAAGCTCGCGTCGCTTGGACAGGGTTTGCAGACCTAGCGTAGCAAGTTGAGAGGAGGGTGAGAAATTCCAGTCGTGACGGCGGAAAATGAAACGGATGGCTTTCTTCTGAACGGATTCTAGTGCGCTGATGTCCGATTTTTTATGAGGGTTTCATACGGGGCAGGCACATTCGAGGAATTGACGCAATATTTTCAGCTGACGACAATAGCATTTGACGTTACTATAAGACGCGTTAGAGCATTTGCGATTCAATATCGCAATTACACAGAGCTACAATTTATGTTAAAAAGTCGCCATCAGGTTTGTTGTTTTTTATTATAGAAAACATTCTACGTCAGGAGTCATTTAACAAGCGCGGTGAATGTTAAAACAAGACGCCCTAATTACAGGCGAGATGTGCAATAGGCAGCCGTCCCTATTCATACAAGAGGGGGGAGGAGGAGACGGGAGATCTGCTCTATGTCTACAGAATCAGATCTTTCACGTCTATGGCGACGGCTCATGTGCAAGTTTTTGACGCTAATGTAGGCCGAGGACGACCTACATAAGCATTCTAAAAACGGTTCACTTCGACCCACCTTCATTCCCGGAAGGCCGCTGCCCAAAGGCACGCAGTTGGTTGTGAGATGTATCCCACCATTTCATTATTATATATTCATCCATTCCAACTCTTGATTTCGCTCGACCTCGACTTGCCTTCACCATCCTTTACGAACCCTACCTATGAGGATATATACGTATATACTTTTAGCAATTCGGGACTTGCACCGGCTATACGCTGAAGCATTACAGAATATGAGCTAAAGGCATATAAAATTCTTATTCCTTCTAATTGATAATTGGAACGTGCAATTCTGCTCTGCACGATGAGCATGCGATGTTGGGCACAACTATTTCATGCAGGCCGTGTTCCTGAGCGTGTACCCAGACTTGTTTAGCATGTTCGGCGGTGCCTTCGTACTCTTGGGCGTACTCATCATCGGACTGCGCAAGATCGCCCAGGCAGCCACACCCGACTCTCGTCTCAGAGATAAACTTCGATTTCTTTTATAAATACAATCTAATATTTTTTATCGCCTCATAAATTATTTTACGGTAACATACAAATGCAAACTTGATTACTGTTTACAAACTTCGTAGTTTACAGAAGTTTAGACGAACGCATGCTCAAGAATATCATGCATGACGGATACGATTCACTTCTATTAAAGGGGTCGTGAAACTGTCGCTTTACAACGACAATGCGGCACCATCGGCAGCCACATGCACTAACTGTATCATGAGCCCGAGTGGACCTGCATAGACGCTCAGTTGCCTATCGAGGAACATGGAAATCTATGGCATATTGGGCACGCGCAAGAGGCGCTCAGCGGCGTCTGCCATGCGCGATTCGCGTCCCACAACGACGCTGCTTAATATGACGTCAGAGTTCAAGTTAGCGCTGATTGTGTATGACAAAGACGCTGACGAGTGTCCCAGATGCACGCACGCAAGTGTCAAAAAGTTCCGCGTTCCTCGATAGGCGAAGAATTACTTATGATGACGTCACCTAGTTATTGCGTGTGAATGCCGGTGGCTTCGCATTGTCGCTTTAAAGCGAGCGCTTCACGACCCCTTCAAATGCGCAAACCCATGCGGGCAACGTAATATCTTACGTATGTGCACCAACCGCAAAAATCGAAGCCTTTTAAATGGGAAGCATTTCTTAGCAATCGAAAGATCGTTGAGCATTTTTATCCACTAATACATTTGTATATCTGTATGTTTATATCTAGCCGCCTGCATTTGAGCGCCCTTGTGGTCGCCTCTTCAACTTTGTACTGACCGAAATTGGCATACGAAGCTATGAAGGTCAGACGGACATGACTGTCCAGTCACGCGGCAACTACTGCGAAAATCTAGGCTGCGAAAAATCCTGGCTCGTACGTCACGAAACGCTTTCCTCCAGTGACATGTGGTACATACCCGCATAACACGGACTGTGGTATGTGGGTACGCACCACTGGTGATTCACAGTTTATACCCAAGAAAGGCGAGAATAGACATTCGTAATCTAAGTGGGGGAGGGTCGAAAAAACGTGGCATCAGCCACATTGACTTAACAAAGGCAAACAAAAATAAAGATCCCGGCAGAAATTAAATCCTTATATTATACATGAGAGTCAAGTATTCTACCACAGAGTCATGCAAGGTCTTAAAACAGCTTTGGAAAAAGACCAAACGTGCAAGAATTATGTCGTTGCAACGTAAATTGTGGTTACCGTGCTGGCTGTCTAATTTTATCACATGGTAATAAACATTCCTTATGTACTCCTATAGAACAGATATGTTTTATCAGCTTAATGTCAAGTTTGGTTCTAGTGTTGGCTCCGCTTTTATGACAATCAAATAAACTTTACATTTGTACTCCTACAACTTGGCAAGCTATATTCTAGTGCTCCTCAACCCCAGAGCTACACATAACGAATGCTAGATGTGATATTCACGGCAACACACGCGAAATGTGATTCACACCATAGCGTGCGCTTTGTTTGAATAAAACAGATGTCTGTGCTCAGACGCATATGCCGACATTACGTGCCTAGTAAGCATACGATGTGCACACTACTCCATTTACAAAAAAGATGTTGATCTACCGATTAACCTGACTCAACGACTATGGTTCAAACAGCACCTAATCCTTGTTTTATTTATTTGTAATCATCACCGAGGGTCTCACGGCTGTCTTGAACTTTGGGACTCTCGTCTGCATGTTTCATGCCTTGTAACATCTTTTCATGTCATGAGGATAGGTAAAAAGAAATGACCACGTATCTGCATGTTTCACTGCAAATGCCATCGAAAGACGATAGCCTTGCGTTGAAGAGAGTGAACAAAACGTTATTTGATGTTCTGCATGAGAAAATCGGTGAATTGTGGTTTCAGCTACCGGACGCTCTAATTTCAGCTACCGGACGCTCTTTTTACAGCTTAGTCATCAGTGCAACTGTATAGATTGCTCTAGAACACTGTGTCCCTGGTATTCCCTACACACGTAACGTACCAGAAGCTATATTTAGAGAGGACATCACAACCATGTAATTGTCGTATGCATGAAGCAGTCATTTTCACAGTATTAAAATAAAATTGTATTTTGGCTCTTCATATTATCACCTTAAAAAGCTTTATAATCTAAAGCTGAACTTTAATTTGTGATATGCTCACAGTTATCCTTGCACCCATCGTTTCTAAATTATACCAGCATATGCACCCGACACTTCCCATATACCTATATATATATATACGCAACTTCGTAAATTTGGGTATGATAGTTTGCATCATATTCGACCTTTTCAATGTCAGTAACGCAGAGCGGAGCCTCTTCAATATTCATGATGCAAGACCAACTAACCCAAAGCTTGTCTTTTACTGAATCAAGCAAACACGATATTTTGTGCAACGTGACCTTTGGAGACATTACTGAAGATGTACGCACAAAATTGCAAGTGACACCCAACATTCCATTCTTTAAGCCTTAAAATAATAAGAAGGTGCACAAGTTACGCAAGTGAATACATATACACTAACACTCAGTAGTAACGTGTGAGTTTGCAATAGTAACCCCAACTGGCACATTCGTGGAGACTACAGATGTGGCCCCACCCTGCAAAAGTATAATACTGTTCAAATACAACCTTTGCGCATTTCAAACAAGGCAGCACTGGTGGATAAAAAACGAAATGATCCACCCTGGGCTTTGAGAAAACGGGACACCAACAGGTCAACGCACAATGGGCAGCCTGCCCATCTTTAATCTATTTTGCAGCTGCTGCAAACAACAAGGAGAGAGAAAAATAGAGCATTGTGTACAGCAGTCAACAACTCTTCTCAACAGCGGCTACCACCACTCACAGATAATCAGACATCAGATCCACAACGAAAAGCACTCTGGAAACGCAGACGTCAGCGTTGCACAAGCATTGGAATTGGCTTTTGTGATGCTGCAGATGAAGCTGTGTGAGAAACTGTGATGTGTTTGGAGGGTTACGTTTGTCTACGCATCTCATTTACGCAGGCTTTAGCATTTGCATCCCTTTCCTCTGAAGCAAGCCTCAAGCAGCATGTCCTACTTCCGACAACCTTTGTGAATGAAAAGCAATAATGCGAGGAGCCCAAATGCCTTCAATCGTTGATTTACTCGGACTATTCACAATGCATTTCAAGAAATCTATTTGACGACAAGGTATAACTACACACCTTTGTAGCCAGTGCTTTTCCAGAAAATATGTGACAATATATATCAGGTGCTACTTTAGAATAGAGCATTTTGATAACTGGCCATTGAAACAGAAATCAAACTAAAACAGTGACTTACATACAACAACCCAAGCAAGCACCACAGGTCTTTGTGTGCACATATACATCTATGCATATTGCAAGTAGTAAGAGTAACACAAAATGGTTGTGTTTTGCTGTGGGAGAGATTGCATCAGAAAACTGTGAGCATTTTCTTTTTTGGCTCGCTAATGTTGAAGCTGATGATATAAAAAACAATCCAGTAAGTAACAAATTAACTACCTAACTTACATCAATACTTAGGAAATCAAATGTCATAATAATACAGACACATGTGCCACTGAAAGTTTGACTACATAAGATCCCTAATGCTGCCCCCTGCACAGCTGGCTAGAAAACAACACAGATTATTAACCATGTGCAATAACATTCTGAAGCAGACACATAACAGCAAAAATACGAAAACTGTGATCAATCGCTCAACCGCAGCGGAAATTTGTGTCTTTGTTGAACACGGGGCTAAAAGGCAAAAACGCACAATTCCGAATGCCTTCCTTTTAAGCGTCCCTCCCACACAGGACAAGAACACAGCTGCCCTAGCATTACCCTACATACACAAACTTTAGCGCTACATAATTTGCTTCAAAAAAATGCATGAGGCAACAGGAAGCCTTCTTGTTTTGATAACATAACACACGGCAGCTGCTCAGCACACTTGTACACAAAAACAAAAGAACAATGCAACTACAAGTTCCAAGTCTTCACACTTCATCGAACATCGTTCGTCACTCAAAAAGCCAGCAAAAGTTCCACAACAAGACTATGCCTATTCGAAAGCCTAAACCTATATCACAAACTTCTCTTGCTGGCAAACAATCGAGGAGGGGAGGGGGAAAAGCGGGTTGCTTCCAACTTGAACGACTAAAAAAAAAACAGAACCAGCAAGCATTACGTGCCCGGGAAAACGTGACGACGCGCGAAAAGGCGCCATTTTCCAAGCTATGTACACTGCAGTCAGGCCATCTTATATGATGAAAAGGCTGCGGAGATGGGGGGAAGGGTGAGGCACGCAATGTTTTCTACTTTAGGTGGGTGATGTGGGAGAAGAAGACAGCGAAGTGGTACGAGAAAAGTGAGAGCGTGACACATCTGGAGAGCTGAGACTCTGAGCGTCTTCCACGTCTGCCTCGGCACGCAGCCACCCCCTCTGCAGCATCCAGCATCATGACAAGATGTAGTCTTCCATGAGTAGGGGATCATCGTTCTCCAACATGTCTAGGGCCCTCGCTTCAGCTTCGCCGTCACCTGTTGACAGGAGGCGTATTGTCACTGGCCTATCCGAAACTCAAACCTCATTATAACAAGGTTGCATCTAACACGAAAACAAGCTTGTCATATTCAAAAAATGGTTATTTTTTTCCACACTATTTCTATTGAAGACCTTTCTTGATTTACTTAGCCGATACTTTGTTATATCTGGGTTTGTTACATCGAGGTTTGAGTGTATTTACATATACATTTCACATACTGTGCATGGAACCAGAAGCATTTGTAAGGAGGAGCTGCACTACTTCAGTACAGCAAGGTGTAGTGTCCTTAACATTATAAAACACTTATAGGGGCACTGAAAAGAAAAATGAAGAAAAACAGTGGCCCTCAGACAAATGTTTTCTGGCTTGTCTCATGTGGGGGCGAGTGAAGTATCTTTAAACTTTATTTCCTCGACTGCTTGCTGCAACGTCCATCTATGGAACATAAAATCAGAGCAAAACTGCTCGCCCACTTACATTTCCCGCTGACCTGAAGCTCACTAATATGGGGTGACATTCTCGTAAAGGAACAGCTTAGCAGACATTGGGCCCAGGTGAGCACGCCGCTTCGTACACATGTGCTTACCCTCAACCCATTTGCAATTTGAATGAGTCGTACTGCGCTCACAGAAGTGTAGGTGTGCTAGTTAAAATTTGAATGGCTGTATGTAATTAATAACTATTGTTGTATCCATTACCAAAAAAAGTAACTAAATACGTTACGTGTTACACTAACAAAAAAGGAACGCGTTACCGCCCTACGTTACCAACAGAAAAATGTAACGCGTTACCGTTACAGTTACCAAAAAAAAGTAACAGACGTTACTCATCAATAACAAATATCAATCATTTCGTTTTTGCTGCAGGAACCGTCAGTAAGAATATTTTAGGCTCACACTTATTTTTCACAAAAAACTTCTAAGCCAAACGACAATTATAACCAAAATGCTGATTCAACTAGATTTGTTTGTACAAATGCACTGAACTTTAGCAATGTCGTAGAGCTTATAGTTAGTTGCCTCTATAGTTGCATGCGATGGCTTCGGACTCTAGCACATGGTGAAGCCATTTCTCTCAAAGTCACATCATGCACAATACGAGATTCAATCATCAACGCCTTAACATGAATTCCCAGAAACGAGCCCAGTTATCTGTTCTCGTAAGGATAAACGCTCTCCGCTAAAGACGCGCCACTGGACTCTCAACAAATTTACGGCAATTCTTTCAGCGTGCTTCTTATGGCAAGATCAGCACGGAAAATTTGTAGTAGTAAAGAATTGTTTTAATGGCCTAGTCGCCTGGGAATATATTTGTGCGTAAACATTTCTTGTTCATTTTAACCGGTTTACTTAACGCAAAAATTGGAAGTGTTTATAATTAGAAACGTTAACGAGAACACAGTATGCCATTGCTATACGGGCCCAGTTCAGCATGCCAACAAATTACATCCTCATCATGCAGTCGACAAAAAGGTTGGGCATACCATCGACAACTTTCGTGGTACAAAACAGATTGGGGCGTAAAAGCGCTTCATCAGCTTTCTACTACTCTGCAGCAAAAAAAGGTCTATAAAGGTCTATAAAACCTTTTTTATGAAGAGAAGAGAAAAATCACTTCCTTTCTGGACTGTTGGGCGGAGGTACAAAAGCTGCATGTCGTCTCTGTGCTGGTACAGAATTGTGGTGCTGTCGAGCACAGAGCGGCAGCCGCAGCGATCACAATGAATAGCCAGAAGACCGTCGGTCTTATTCCAAACATTATTGTTGTGCTCTCGGAGATTGTCATTGAGACATCTGCTTGCCTGGCCGATGTGGCAGGCTCCACAGACACGACAAATGGACTCTGTAGACTACCCCCCCCCCCCCCTCGCACACATTCCAGGAACCGATTAAGGTGCCTTACTTGGCATCCAATTTTGCGTCTCGTGACCGGACCTCTCCTCTGTGAGAGCGAGTCTAACTTGTGTAGGGCAGAAAAAAAACCCCATGGACACCAACGTGCCGGCCTATCTTTTTCAACCCATGAGGAGAAGGCTGATGTTTCTAAGAAATGACCGCGACTTTTTCGCATCTGCTCATGCTTTCCTGTACGCCATTATCTGCAGGCACGTCGTACGTGCCCCTGAGCTCTGTAGATGCTTCGGCCACAGCAACCAGCAATGTCTCAGGATAGCCAACCTTTCCTAAGACGAGCCACAGTGCACTATACCATCTTATGTCCGCGCAGGTAATCGGTGCCTGCTTAGATACCCCCCTCCACCCAAATTCCCCAAACTAAATTCCGTCCACCTTTCTTGTCAACGCCTGGTAGGCGACAGCGGTCCAACGCTGCAACAAAAGAATTCGTCGGGGCGAGTTCTGGGAATGTGGCACCTTCGGAATGAAAAAGTAACAAGTAACGTGGCACCTCCCGTTATCGAAAAATACTGAAGGAAGTATGTTACCCGTTACAGTTGCAAATTGTAATGAGTACATTGCTAAGTTACTGAGAAAAGTAACGCATTACCGGTAACGACAGTTACTGTAACGCGTTACCACCAACACTGCTGATAACTGTTGCCTGCTTCTCTGAAAAGACTAATTTTTTTATTAAAAAAATTACAACAAAAGATGTAATCTTCCTTGTTGTCCTAAGCATTAGTATTGCTGAGCACCTATTATAAACTCCTAAACTTCATGTTGCCCCAAAGCACCCCCATTTCAGCATTGCTTGAGACCCTGTTTATAAAAGAAATACTTTAGTGCTGATACTTCATATATTTGTCTTGCGATGCTTCCAGCACAGCATGTCAAGCATTGTGTCACAGCAAAAGCAAATGGGTAGAGAGTCTTCAGACCATTCGAAAAATTAAGCCTGCCCTAATGGTTGCCACAACACACATTCAAACGATTAGGGAATGAAAGTTGTTGGTGGTGCGACGAAAAATGAAAAAAATCCTCTGCTTGCCTCTGATGTATGAACAGAGGACAAGAAAAAGAATAAATCGAGCCAAGATGATATACACACCTTCGTAGCCATCCAGATCCCAAACGTCAGCGTCTTCGTGAAAGGCTAAAAGAAACACAAGCATAACTTGGTGACAAGAGAAAATAAGAACGTACGTGTATGTAGTCCAGCTATGGTCTGTTACACACTCAGACTGAATGCTTTCAGAGCGCCAAGAAAAATTTGGTAGGCTTGTGCGAATAGTGGATTTTAGGTTCGAAGTAACTTCGAAACGAATAGTGATTTCGGTAGAATAATTTTGAATTGAATGGTATATATGACATATAAAGAAAAATGGGCATATTTATTATGACCTAACTAACCTGCACAATATTTTTTTAATTGAAATAGGGCCTCTATGCAATAACATTTTTTTTTGTTCAAAGGAAGTCGAAAGAACCTTGAGTAGTAGCAAGATTTGAATTTCAGCAGGATGCGAGTCGAAACCCTGAAAATATGTAACATTTCAAAAGTTATTATACTTGTAGCATATAAAGCTGCCATAACTAGCTTTAATCTTGATAAAATGTATTAATTTTAGAGTAATATTTTCATTTAAAGGGGCCGTGCAGCACTTTTTTAAGTAGCCATGGCATGGATTCACTAAAGAAGCTATTTATTGCCTCATGAATTCACTGCCACAAATATTTTTTTAGAATCCATCCAGTACATGCGAAGTTGCAAAGATTTCTCTCACGCTGCAAGTGCATTCTCTTTTCTTGTCCCGACGAAAGCACTGGAAGCTAAGCAGGGAAGGATGGCACGGGGAAAGAAACTAAGTCACACATGCTTTCTGAGCTTGTGGAGTCATTTGCGAAGAGAAGAGAGCAATTATGAGCTGACTTCGAGAATTTATTGTGAATCGCACGCCGCGTGCTGCTCTATAATATTTGGCTTGCGTGTCCTCGGTAGCCTTGACTACCGATCGGCAGCATTTTCCGACAATCCTTAAAAAGTGTTGCAGGGCCCCTTTAGATTTGAAGGGGGGCTTCGCGGCAAAGCGGATTTCTTCCGAGTAAGTGCTTTCACTGTCATGCAATCCTATACTGCAGTGAAACCACCTTTATTCGTTCCTTTAGAATACTTTTGAAAATTTCAATAATTTAAATTCAAATCGAAGCGAATTCGAATACCCTACTATTCGTTCGAATGCTTCGAGTGCTCGAATTCGAATGCTTCGAATATTCCCACAAGCCTAAAATTTGGTGCACACAAGTCCTTCCAATAATTCACTCTGATAAATAGTTCAGCTGTCTCATACTCGGAACTATGAGCAGCTGTGGTGTCACATTTCTACCCTTGAGCAAATTTGATATGCAAGACTGCATGTGCACCTGGTAATGTTGTTCAGGTGAAGTAACTTGATCATCAACAAGATTGCAATTTATTCGAACCTCTAATAGTGAATAACTTGAGCTGTGGATATAGCAAAGTTTTGGGTGCAAACTGAATGCAAATAATTCATGTTTCTCAAATATTTTTCAATTACTTCAAAGCAAAATCGCAGAAAAAAATTTAGAGGATCCCTATGTGTCATAACATGCAGTATATCACCACGAGCCTGAATTACTTGATATTTCTCTATTTGGCAAAGAGTATTGCATACATCGCAAAATAACAGCGTTTTCAACACAATCATAGCCCTGCAGTGGTGCAACCGGGCGCTACTATTTGAGCTACATACTTCATTCACAAACAAGTGCACAAAAAGCAGATGTATGAAGCTTATTTCGAAGGCCCAGATTGGCACCATCTGCCATGTTGTTCCAGCGCGCCTTGTTTAGCGAGAGAGTCATCCGTGGCTTGTGCATCACGAGGTCACGGCTGTTGAGAATCGCGCTATTTGGTGACGTGTACACACTCCTGTGTTGATTGGTCAAAGATCATTTAGAATATCATTATGCTTTAGTTTGGTAGCTAGTTCAATCATCAGATTACGATAGTGTCGTGCTTTTCGTGAACATCACAGATCAAGTTTCAGACAAACTGACCCTAAATAGAGACTATGCTTATTAAACTTCGGACTTCATGACGAAGACCCCTCGAGATGGCTCCTATTCTCCGTGATCGTGTGTGACATACTTCAAAACATCGAGTATACCGCAGCACACACATTGCAAGGCAAGCTTACAGCAATCGTGCATGGCATACTTTAAAATATCAGTCACCGTGACCATACATAACGTGAGCAAGCTTAGTGCTCGGAGTCATGGCTAGGCTTCACTCCAGTTATGACGCTGATTCAGGCAATGAATCCGAACTTTGTGGGCAAGGACATCGTGCTAGTGGACGTGCGAAAGCGAAGAAGCCACAATATGCTTCGTCACAAGCAATCAATAGCAACCCCCACTGGCTCTTCAAACCGTAGATAGGCATCTTAAGCATTGGCAGTGAAACCCAGCTAAGCTCGTCGTGCAGTGACTGCTTGGAGCACCAATGGAAGCGGCTAACAGTTTCACACATGGACGCCCCAAAACACAAGACCAATAACGCTGGAGGCAAATTTTCGCCTTTATGCTCATTTCTGAAAGTGAGAATACTTCCAATATAAAATTCAGGTACAAATCGAATTGGGTAACATACACTATCAGAAAGATATTGTAAAGTTCGAATATTCGCATAGCCCTATGAATAAAATAATACATACAATGCATACAAATATTAACCTAATTTCTTACTACATAAAGCACACTCTTCAAAAGCTTTGAATATGATGTCACTACAGAAACCTTAACGTATCTGATACTCAATACAAGATATGGTATTCAATTAAAAAACATCCTCCGTCATAGGAATAGCATAAGACAAAAGTGAAACATGTCTTCACAAGGGTACTTGAGTGTTTATTGTACATTGTTTTGCTGCTGAAGCGAAGCAATGAACGCGATAGCAACAAATTGGAATGTCACGTGAAGAAAGGCAAGCAGATCGAAACTTGCAGTGTACTGCTTAAGTAGAACACACAACGAAAGGGACACACACCCTGAACAAGTGCGATCTAACAACTGTCACAGCATGATCGACCCTTAAAGCACACTGCTGAAACAAAAAGGACACGTGAAATGAACGCACAAGTACACCCAGGTCGAGTGTGAACTAACAACTGTCACAGTTAGCTTCTTGTGTTCGATCAGCGCGCTCCTTTCGCAAATGCGGCGAATGCAGCGCGCAAAGAGTTCTTGTTGCGCCACGCTGCCTTACAGAGGTCTCCTATCGTGGATTTTCACCCATTGGACTTCAAGATAGACCTCAACGGCCACAAGCACGTCTGGCAAGGTTAGTGCACTGCGGCTGTTTAGCTGTAGCTTCCCAAGTCACATGTACTTTGATTTATTTTATCAGAAGAGATGACGAGGAAAACTTGCGCGTTGGCAAATGACGCTGTTTCAAGGCTTCTAAGGAGATCACGTACTTCGTGACGCCAAACAGGCAAAAAAAAAACTGTTCCACACTCGCCGAAATGGCAACTGGTGCCGCTCACCGAAGCTCCTAGGTTTAAATTCACACATATATATACCCCATAATGTAGACGGAGAAATGACCGCCACTGTAGCTCGGTGGTAGAGCATCACACGCGTTATTCGAAGGTGACAGGTTCGGATCCTGCCGATAGACAGTCATTTTTTTTTTTCGTCCACTTTTCTTTCTTCCCATTGACATCATACAATTACTTTAATAACACCCCTATCATTTCCTTGGCATTACTGTCTGTTATTCTCAATATATTGTCACGTAATTGTGAGGGTAGCCCAAAGACAGGAGACCGGGAGGCTCGTAGAAATACAAGAGAATCCGTATATTTGGCGGACTTGCGCCCACTAAAGGGAAGTATACACATCGGCTTAGCGGGTGGCGAACAGCGTGTTCGACGGCCGTCGGGGAACAGAATGTCCCACTGGATTGCAAGGCGCGTTCACCATCCGAGATACAGTCACCGTCACCCTGCCGCGGTGGTCTAGTGGCTAAGGTACTCGGCTGCTGACCCGCAGGGCGCGGGTTCGAATCCCGGCTGCGGCGGCTGCATTTCCGATGGAGGCGGAAATGTTGTAGGCCCGTGTGCTCAGATTTGGGTGCACGTTAAAGAACCCCAGGTGGTCTAAATTTCCGGAGCCCTCCACTACGGCGTCTCTCATAATCATATAGTGGTTTTGGGACGTTAAACCCCACATATCAATCAATTATACAGTCGCCGTAGCATCTGGCGCTATCTCGTAATCAGCGAATGGTCGACGTGCGGGCCACGATCTTCGCAGATGAATCGCGGTGCATCCTGGACCACGATAAGGCCGCGTGCCGGCGGTATCGGCATGCGTAACACTATCCGCAATACGCTTCGCGGCAATAGGGAGTTTCAGAATACCGTTTGGAAGCGCTGCGGGCGTTGCGGGCGTAGCGGGCGCAATATGAGTTTTAAAATAGCGTTTGCCCTGCTGCGAGCCGCAACGCGCGATCCCAGCGACACCGTAGCCTCGAAACCAGCGCTTGCGAACCACATGCGGGCCGCCATTACCGCACACAATTTCGGATTTTTTGCGTGCGGTCCGCGAACGCAAACGCCGCCGACTCGCGTTACAACGCATGCGCAGTGGCAGCCACCGCACCGCAAGGGCTCGCGGTGCGCTATTCTAAAACTCCCTAGTATTGTGTCAGAAACATGTAACGTGAACTGTCCGCCGCGGTGTTGTAGTGGCTAAGATGCTCGGCTGCTGACCCGAAGGTCGTGAGTTCGATCCCGCCAGCGGTGGTGTCATTCAGATGGAGGCGAAATGCTATCATCTTGTATACTGCGCGATATCAGTGCGCCCAAAAACACCAGATGTCCGAAATTGCCGGAGCCCTCCACAAGAGCGTCTCACATAATCACATAATAATTTTGGGATGGTAACTTTAATATTAGTAGTAACATTAGCTGAAGGACACAAGACCAACATTCATCTGGATGAACAACGGCCACTCGAGGGGAAAAAAACTGCATCTATTGATTCTCCCCATGACGATTAATAACTCAATGACGGGAATAGCCTTCTCATACCGCAATTTCAAACATGATTTTGAAAAGTCGAGTCATAAACGTATACATTTTAAGTGGACTAGCTGGGGAC